TGATTGGCTGAGCAATGGGCCAATAGAAGCCGGGTGGGTCAGGTAGTGGTCACAGTCATGTTGGGGTGTGTCCACCGGCCGTCTTTGTTGCAACTCCAGAGGGGGACGACAATTGGTGGGCCTCGAGGGCAAGTACAAGGTCAGAGGGGTATCGACAAAGGAGTCCGACCTGTCTGCTCCTGCCCGGCTCAGACCGGGCCTGAGGAGCCGCCCCAGACGGCATGACTGTCACACTGTCCCTTTAAGCAACCGGGCCGCCATGCCGCTCTGTGATTGGTTGGGCTGACGCATGCGGCCTGGCGCTTGACTCGGTCATGAAGTCGCAGACAGGCGTCGTGTGTAGGCGTCGATGATACACTCTTTGGCGGGTGCACCGGACTGTCTCGATAATTGTGTATACACACACACACACACACACACGCACATTCACCATCAATCCATCCACCCTCGGGCGGGCCGCAACTCATTCCGTCCAGCTGACAACCGGGCACGCACACACACAGACCGCAGCCCGTACCTTTTCGCCCGGAGCATTGGCCTCCTCCTCTGCTCCCAGGCCCGGCGATTCGCCAGCTCGGTGAGCCCAGCTCTCTTTTCCCGCTCCTCGCTCTGTATGTGCACGACACACGACTACACACGACATGCGTGAGGCAGATAGGCGCACATGCGTGCACTCACGTGTCCGCCGGCTCACGTAGCATCAGCAGACGACTCATCTTATTTCGCTTCTGTCAGGCCCTTCCTCCTCTCCTTTCCTCCGTCCTCCTCCCGTCTTTCATCGCGGCCATCTTTCACCCGACCTCAATGAAGCCACAGCGCGAGTCCTGCTGCCACTGGTTCGAGGCCCGCCGGCTCTAGGCCCGCTGCTTTCTACTCCCGCCTGCACTCTCCTCTCCCCTCCTTGCTCATCTCGCCCCGCCGTCATGCCGAGCGTGAGTTTGGCCAACTCACTCGACGATGACTACATCAGCGACCGGGTGCGGGCCTACATCGCGTTCGCCGGCGACGAGCTCTTTGCGGCCGAGGCGCCGAGTCCGTTGACTCACTCGGAGGTGGTGAGCTCCGGGGGGTGTGCTGGCTCAGGGGCGACTGCGTCGTCGGCCTGCCCCGCCTCCGTGGCCAACAGCAACAGCCTGTCCACGCCGGGCGTCGAGAAAGGCGCGCCGCCGCACCAATTCTCTTTCCATGGCGCTCTGTCCGGCCCGATGCCGTCCCACTCGGCCGTCACGTCGCCCTCCACCCTCGGCAAGTCGGCCTCGGGCCCCGGCATGAACGGCGGCTCCGGCTTCTCGGCGCTCAGCGCCAACAGTCCGGCCGCCGGCCTCGGGCCCAGTCTGTCGTCAAGCGACTTCCACAGCCTGCAGAACTCGCCGTTCTACAACCACTATCCGGTCGCCTCCAGCCTGCAGCAGATGCACTGTCTCACGGGAAGTACCTCGCCCGGATTGGGCGTCTCGCCGGGCGCCGCGACCTCCGCGTCGGGCGGCACCGCCGCGGCCACTCGCAGCTCCGCCAATCGCAGCCTCCAGGACGCCTCGTTCTCGTCCAGCAACGGCTTCTACCTGCCCA